ATTTCTTGGGTTTCAGGGGGACTAAAATTTTCATATGTAAAACTATCATTCAGATAGACAAATCTCAAAGTATAATTTTTCATGTCATATGGCGGTCCTTTTTCAATAATTTTCTCAAATTATGTGTGAAAGTGCAGTCACAGTATCGTATGGTCACTACAAAATATTGTATCTAGCCTTGTGAAAATCACGATACAAAATAAATTAACGACATAAGAAAATCATACGCAAAAATTTTAATAGACTGTAGACTGAATCAAAATTCAAGATATATATTTATGACGTATTTTTCAAGACACAAATTTTTAATGTTTTATTTAAAAAAATTGATTTTCAAGTGTGTGTGTGTATAATACTTAAAAAAATTATAATGTATTTTCAAAAATTTATTAACCTATTTTTGTATTTATTTTTAGTAATTTCAGAATTAGAGAGTTCACAACTCAAGATTTTTGTAAAAATATTAAAATTATCTTCAGTATAAAAATATATAAAATTAAAAAAACAGTTCATAACCCAATATATATGCAATTTGAAAAATTAAAATTAAAATATATTTGAAATGAAACATTTCTTTAATCAAATTTTTGAAATGCTTCTTGGCCTTAGTTTAGATCTACCTTTGAGCTTCTTGAATACTTCATCAACAAAAAAAATTAAATAAAAAGTTATACTTTTGAGTTTTGTGGTTGGAAGTTTGGTAAAAATGGTGAGGGGGAGTAGAAAAACGAGAAGGTAAGGGTTTGGATGATTTGGAAGATAAATGGCGAGGGAGAAGGAAATAGAAGAGAAGAGGAAGAGATAACATTCTGGAATGAGGAAATAGAGGGTCTCAGATTTGGATAATATAGCCATTTCAACATCGTGAAAAACACGACGCAAATTTTCTGGTTGTTGACTAGCAAAGTGAATTTGACGATGCAAACTTATTAGTCAATCAGCGTATTAGGAAAGTAGTTTGTGTGTTAGTAATATTTTAATTCTCAATAAACATTTTGATAGCGTCGTGATTTCCACGATGCTATTAAATTTTCAAAACATTCAAACTTCCCACCACCTTAAAATCTGAAACATATTTTTTAATTATTTTAAATTTTAAAGTAGTGACGTGATTTTCACGCCACTACCATGTTTTCAAATATGTCCCACCTGACTTGTCCTGAAAAGTTGAAAAATAATTTTTTTAATATTATTTTTAAATGTTTGCATCGTGATATTCACGAGGCAACATCCAATTTTTGCGTCATGATATTCACGTAGCTCTATCATGTGGCTGGAGCAAGGTTTTTTTGTAGTGGGTATCGACTTTTTGTTTTGATATTTTTGTCAATTTAATATAGTTGTTATAGTACTCCCGTATTTACAATTTGGTTCAATAATTGAGTGATTGTATTCTATTTGCATTTTATTTGTAATCTCTTCAGCTATTGTATTATGTTGTTGTATCACTAAGAACCATCCTTACCCATTTAATAAGAGTGTTTGATCCTTGATGGTATTTCTTTTTTATAATAGCTAGTTACTACTTCTTCCTTTCGTCGAGCGTAGCTTGAATCATATGTTAGAACTCTTAAATATGAATTTTCAATCATTTGATTTGAATCAAGTGCAATACATGATACAAATCAAAAGCCGTGTGAAAAATGGGATTTGCCTCTAGAGTAGTAGATTCGAAGCACAACACAAACATGGTTCAAATCACAAATTCAAGTGATCTGAATCAAATGTGAAAAATGATTTGAATCAAATAATTCTATGAAGCTATGTTTGGACTTGACTCAAATTGATTTGAGTCACAATTTTTACTTGATCTGAATCAAAGCTTCAAGACCCATTTTTTTTATCTTTGATTTAAATAGTTGCTTCTTTGATGAAAGTAACAAGTGAGTGTAATGGGAGATACCCATAGAGACAAATAGTGATTTTGTCTTCTCTTCTTAGTGTGTATATACCCATGGTGATTCTCTCTCTTCTTCTATACAACAACTCTTTGATTATGAATTCATGCTAGATTCATTCTCTTTTTTGTTTCATATTATTCTTGTGCAACTTGTTGTTGTGTTAAGTGAATTAGAGAGAGGGAATTGATTAATCTTAATGTTTTGTTCATGGTTAATCAATCTTTTAATAACAATCAAAGCCAAGACTCATTTACCTAAAAATTCAAGGGAACCTCGTGTGTGTGTATGTGTGTGTGTGTATGTTATTCATTCACATTCATCTAAACCTTTGACCAACACCTTGTGGTTTTAGAGTGATTTTGAGATATTATGGCATTATTCATCATTTTCATCCTTAGTCTTTTTCCATTAATGGTATTAATGTTTTTGTGTGAGGTTTGATGTTTGTTACAGGTGCATATATCATTTCTTGAATGCAATTTGGAATTTGTTGTTATTCATCAAGAAGAGAGTTTCATTATACTCTAAGGAAGACTTTGACGAGATCACGTATCAAGTGTCCGTAAGGTGGAGATGAAAGTGGTCCATCTTTGGTGGAGTTGGAGAAAGATTGCTCACGGATAAAGTTGGGTGTTTTCCAATTAACGCTTAGCTAATGGAAATTGCTCAAACAAGAGATCGATGTGATCAGGTGGATTGCCACATATAAATACTTGGAGTAGGATTATTGTGGATAGCAAGGTTATTGGATCAAAATATTTTAGAGATCTTGTTTTTGTTAGCAGTTGAGTGTCTACATCAGCAGAGGGAATTATCGTTTGATAGTTCGTTGTAACCTAAATTCTGGTAATCAAACTTATCAAAATAGTAGAAGATCGTAATTATTTTCCAACATTTTTCAACACCTTTAAAGAGTGTAGTAGGAAAAGTGTGGACGAACGCCGAACCACTATATATATTTCTCTATCTTTTCTTCTTCCCTTATCCTCTTTAAATTTTCTAGTATTCATTAATTTTTCTATTGCATTAGTGAATTATTACATAGATGGTATGCCGCATCAGTTAGTCTTTTCTTATAGATATTTAATGTATAAACTTAGATTTGTGGTGTATAAATCTTATTGTAGTATCATGAATCCAATTATGTCTTGATAGAACAGTTTTGTAAAGAGTTTTAAAATAGCTTTGTTTAAAGCTACTTTGTTTATCTTGTGATAGACTTGCATTAGAAGAAATCAAGTGCTTAGTAAAGATCATGTATCATTTCATTTGGTTTAATTTATTGAGATGCTTCCAAGCTCTCTTGCTTTTGTGTTTTGCTTCCACGCTTCTTAAAATCCGTGATTTCATATATAGGACCTAAAAGTTTTTTTTTTTAAAATTGTCTTAAAGGGAAAGGGTCAATTAAACCCCCATTTCTAGACCTCTTTGTGTCTATATTCTCACCCAACAATTGGTATTAGAGAGGGGTTTTGATCAATGTTTTGCGACTCCAAAAGTTTAGTATTTGGTTCTTTCAATCCTGTATGAGTTCTTAAATCATTTGGAAACTTAAGCAGTTCAATGAATTTCAATAAAACTACATTGATTTACTAATGTCTGATTATTCATTGAAATTCATCACATAGTTTAATTCAATGTGAAACCTTACTAGTATATTCTTCAAACATTAATTGTATTTAATATATTTTCTATGTTTTGGTTCATCCAGGATAGAACTAACAACATTTTGAGGTATGTGCAGTATGTATTTGATACCATTTCTTAAAGGTTGTTCCGTATTGATCCTAATTGAAGATGGATGTACATTCACACTATTTATTCTAGATGTTTTATGAGAAAAAAGAAGAAAACAAAAGCATCTTATAAGTGACCTATTATTCTAAGGTTATCAAAAAAATAAAGTGATGCTAGTTTTGTGGCTATTGGTAATGGTTCTCCGAAGTTTCAACAATTATAAGAGATTCAAGGATATAAGTGTGCTCCTTGAAGTCCTAGTAAATCGGCAAGGAGTTGAATCAGTTATTCTGATTAACAAATTATGTCAATCAATGATAGTCAAATTATTGTCGTTTCAAGTTCATTTGAAGCCTTATGAAGGAGAGTCTAATAGTATTATTTGGACGTGTAAAAGGAGTTGTATCCAATTAGTATATGAATGTTCGTATTTTAAAGCTTATGATGTTTTTTTGTTGATGACTAATCGTTCTTGTGTGCAACAAGTTAAGCCTTAATCGTATGAATTAGTATGATCGTTCCAACCCTCCTTTATTTCTTTTGAGTATTCATGGTTGTATTTATTCAACTTTCCTAAATATGTTGTATGATTAATACATGTATGCAAATGTGATGTGTCTCTGCATTTCATGCCTTAATCATGCACTCATTCAATGCATCGGGTTAATTCTTATTTTTTCCATTCATTGTATTCATTTACATTATTGATGCATTCATGCATCATCATTCAATTTTTGTACACTAAAATTGTTTTGCATTCATATAAATGCATCTTGCGTTAAAAATCAATTTAAGCATTTGCGTTAAAATAGATCAAGTTCTTTGTATTCATACATAACATTAAAACCTATTTTTCATTTTCATTAAAGTTTATTTTCATCAATAAAAGGCATTTAATTTTAAAAGAAATATTAATTTAACATTTTTTATTCAAATTTGTAACACGTGATTCGAATCATGCATTTTTGCCTACACATTTGATTCAAATCAAATCCTTGAGTCCTGAATCCATATGGGTTTGTTCATTTTGATTTGAATTAGATATTTCACTTGATTCGAATCAAAGTTCTTTTTCTTCAAAAATAAATTCTTGATTCAAATCAAGTTTTACACATGATTCAAATTACAACTGAAAAAGTCATGCATAGTTTTTCCTTTCATTTTCTTTTCATTTTCTCTCACCATCTCTCCAATACCTCTTGATAGGAATTATTACCATCATCATAAAATCTTCATAACATTATCTCTTCATCAATCGTCATCTATCATCACTTCATTTCTTAAACTTATTTCTCTAACATCATCAATTACTTCATCAACCCTCAGAAGAGATTCTCTGACAAGCAATAGGGCAAGAGAGCCATGACATATTCTCCGCCACTAATTCCTAAGAAATCAAGGACCAAGGTTCAAGCGAGCAAATCAAGACCTGATAAAAGAATTAAGATGAAGTACTTTAAGGCTCAAATTGTTGAGGCTCTATGTCATAAGGTAAAATATATTCTCCCCGAGGATAGTTTACAATGTTATCAAGAAAAGTTTTTGAACAAACCAGTTGACCCTGAGTATTATGTAAATGCATCTGTTGAGATTAAACTAAAAGCAAAATTTTTGAAACCGTTTGCTTTTCATCGTCTGTTGAAATTTTTGGGGTAAATAAGAAGTATAACCCTAATTATGTGAAGTCTTTTTACTGTAATCTTGTGCAAACTCATGCTAGCATTGAAATTAGTTTCAAGGATAAAGTTTTACTTTCAGCTATATGGATTTCACTAAGTATCTTAGGTTGACTTATTCTAGTTATGATATGCATGTTTTAATATCATCTGAGTATGATAGGATTTCTTTTGTTCTATCCATCTTTAAATCTATCTGTAAAAGTACTTCTGTGTCAAACTTTGGCATCAATCAAGTCAAGTTTGATGTGTACTTGTTTCACTTATTATTGCTAAGATTCTCTATATGAAACCAAGAAATTGGGGCAAAGCTGGTGATAATTATCTATACTTGATGTGGGCTCTCATTAATGATAGTGAACTTAATTGGGTGAAGTTCATTGTGAACCGGATGATTCATTACAAGGATAACCCAAAGAGGCCATTGTTCTTTTCTTATTTTGTGCAGCAGATCCTTGAGGTTAACATGATTGTTTCAAAAGAAGAAGATTTGACTAGGGCACCAAAGATTTTGGATTATGGTGGTGTTTCCAAAATGAGATATTATAAAGACTCCAATGGTGACTATTATTACCTTAAGGAATATTGTTGAAAGGTATATGATCTAAATGTTGTAGAACCTGCTAAAGATCCATTTATTGAGGTTGCTAGTTCTTTTTCCATTGTTGAGGACCTTTATCTCTAAAGATTGAGTGTTGATGGAGACTAGTGATACATTAGGGTATCTATTGTTTTTGTGTAAAGTTTACTGTTTTTTACATGTGCATATATTATTTCTTCAATGCAGTTTGGAATTTGTTAATATTCATCAAGAGAGTTTCATTATACTCAAAGGAGGACTTTGGCGAGATCATGTTCAATTGTCCGTAAGGTGGAAAAGGAAGTTCTCCATCTTTGGTGGAGTTGGAGAAATATTGCTCACAGATAAAGTTGGGATTTGTCTAATCAACGTTTAGCTAATGGAAATCACTCAACCAAGAAATCAGCGGGATCAAGTGGATTACCATATACTAATACTCGGAGCAAGATTATTATGGATAACAAGGTTATTGGATAAATATCTTTCTGAGATCTTATTTTTGTTAGCAGTTGAGTGTCTGCATCAATAGAGGGAATTATCATTTGATACTTCGTTGTAAAAAATGCTTATAATCAAACTTATCAAAATAGTGGAAGATAGTGATTATTTTCCAATGGTTTTCAACACCATTGAAGAGTGGAGTAGGAAAATCAAGGACGAACGTCGAACAGCTATATATCTCTGTGTATCTTTTCTTCGTCCATTATCATCTTTTAGTTTTATAGTATATATTATTTTTTCTATTGCGTTAATGCATTATTTCATTGATTGTATGTCATATAAGTTAGACTTTTTCTTATAGAGATTTAATGTATAAGCTTAGATCTGGGGTGTATCAATCTTATTGAAGTATCATTAATCCAATTATGTCTTGATAGAACATCTTTGTAAAGAGTTTTGAAATAGCTTTGTTTAAAGCTACTTTGGTTGTCTTGTGATAAAATTGCATTAGAAGCAATCAAGTGCTTAGTAAACATCATGTATCATTTCATTTGATTTAATTCATTGAGATTCTTACAATCTCTCTTGTTTTTGTGTTTTGCTTCTGCGCTTCTTAAAATCACTGATTTCATATATGGGACCTAAAAGTTTTTCTTGAAATTATATTAAAGGTAAAAGGGTTTATGCAACCCCCCTATAGACTTCTTTGTGTCCATATTCTCACCCAACAAGGTGCTCTCCTAGGGAAATTCCATGCTACTAGGTCCTAAAATATTCCTTTGATTTATAGTTGTAAGAATATCATTCAGATAGACAAATATCAAAGTATAATTTGTTATGTTATCTGAGGATCCTTCTTCAATCATTATTTTGATGTCACTAAGATATAAAAATACAAAGGCCTCTTGCTTTATTGGGCTTCACATTTATAGGCTTCATTTGTCTTTAGTTTGTGAAAATAGTTATGGATCGGATATGAACAACTATCTTAGGACACTCTATTATTGATAAAGATTCGGCTATGCACATTTTAATGGCTTTACCTCAACTAAACATGTATTTGTAAATCTAGAATTTAACTTATTATAATTTGAACGCAATATCTTAAAATAGTGTTAAATGTAAACAAATTGCTCATAAATAATAATAAACATGTTTATCATATGTTTGTTGTCTAATATGAAAACAAGCATTGTGGAAATCATGTGTATGTATGGCTATTTTGCTAATTTGTGTATAATATGAGAGGTTCTTAAGACATAGTAAAACGAGTGAGTGAGAACACTTAAATAAATTTGAAAAGAATGTCAGTTGTTCAAATCTTGACTACACTTATAAAGTAGTAACCTTACCTCGACCAAGCATGTATTCCAAAATTTAGATTTCGATTTACTCTAAATTCAGTTTACAACTTAGAATAGTTTTAGATGTAAATATGTTGCTTGTATATTAGTTGATTCAGTAGGATTTTTCTCATCAAGTGTTGATGATGATGATAAATCTTATGGAGAATCCGCATAACGGTCTTTGATCTTTGTTTGGTTGTGGAGGGTGTACATGCCAACACTTTGCCTACTAAGTAAAATTGCGAGGTTTAAGTTTAGAATAGTATGTAGCTGGGAATATTTGTCTTTTAGCCTTTATATAAGGCTCTTAGGATTTAAGGCCTTAGAACCTTCTTTGGAGGGACATCTGTCTCAAAGGAAATACAACAAGGGATCATATAACCTTTGTATCTAGAGCTCCATGATATCCAGACGAATTTGAATCTGGTATATATTTAGTGTGATTCTATCTTCTAGGCCGCATTTATCCATTAGCTTTGGTTAACCCATGAATCTTGTGGGTTGAGTATCAACCTAGTCTGGAATAGTAGACTCCAAAGCCTTGGTTAGAGGAGTCCGGGCATAACTTTGTATCAAAGCTTCTACGAGCTGGGTTGGACCTTTTCGGACTATTACAATAGTTATGGCCTTTGAGAAGCTCTTATACGTGCAATAAATGCCACATGTTTGTATTTAAACTTTTCCCCTTGAGAACTATTTGGTAACAAGTCAAAATTCACAATAATTATTGCTTTGACTATTGTTAGGACGTGATAGGACATGTTTTGATTTTTTTTAAAGTGTGTAACTGACTTGAATATTACTTTGTATTTAACATGCTTATTCACATACTAGCGCAAAAACTATCACCTAAAGCCTCTAATTCATGTATATAATAAATATTGTTCTACAATTATGAATTAGTCCTAAATTATCATCATTTAAAAATGATAGGTATGGTGAGTATAAATCAAAGAAAATGATCAAACATCATGTAGGAAGGACCAAGTGATCTAAAATTGAAGCACATAGAAGGAGAAGGAAATGGGAAAAAAGCAAATAAAACCCAAAATAAAATAGATATTAATGTACGGGGGTTGGTTATGCAAATTGAAGGTATTAACACCCTAAACATCTACGGTACTCCGTAGGAACCTCTTTGAAAATGTGTGTATTTTGGATAAAAGAGTCGTTGTTTATAAAAAATGGTCTGGAAAGGAGAAAAGGAAAAAAGAAAAAGTATTTTTTTTAATGATTTTTGATTTGACAAAGCTTCCAATGAGCTTTTGGCATACATACCAAAAATGTGCAATGTTGAAATCAAAACCCATGTAGTTCGGGTAAAAAGCTTGAAAGTTTGCATCACTACATGAATCAACAAGAGTCTAATCTTTTAAGAAAAGGTTTTAAAGTGAAAAGGCCAAAGTGGCAAAAATGGTTTGAATTTGTTTTTGTATTTTTTAAGTATTAAAGAAAAATATCATATCTTGATTAAGATTGATTGATGGTTTGATTAAGAAAAGAGTTTGGAAAAATACATGGACCTAAGTCCAAGTTTATTATGAAAGCGGTTCAAGTTTGAAAACAAGAAGAGTTTTTGAAAAGGAGGGAGAAGATTTTGAAATTAAAGAAGATGACAAGAGATGAAGGGATTATCCTAAAGCACAAAATAAAAGATAAGGTAGGAAAGGTCTAACCAAACAAGAGGCCAACACTTGACATGATGAAGTAAATTGCATTCCCATCTTTTGGATTAAAGCCACACATAATGAAGTAATAAGTATCAGATGAATAATAAATGCCTTAGGTGAAAGCTTGCATCAGATGAACTCGATAAAGCACATATGACTTGATATGTATCATATGAATTATTATTGCATCATATGAAAATTTAAAATAACACATGAACACAGAAACTTTCCCAATACACAAGCATAATAACAACAAGATAACATGAAGTCCAAAGGTCTCAGGGTCCCAAAAGTCTCAAAGTCTTAAGGTCCTAATCCTAAGTACAAGAGGTCCAAAACTCTAATATGCCAAGGAATAGTAACCATAGTCCACAAAGAGCCTTAAGTCTTTTAGCGTTCAAGTTGATTTATTTAGTATTTTCCAAAGAGAAAGAAAGCTCAAGTGAGCAAAGATAAAATGGCATAAAAATAAATTCTCAAGTGAGAAAAAGGCAAATAGCATGAGATGTAAATGCTAAAGGTAAGAGTGCATAAAGGTAAATACATAAAGATAAAGGCAAAATATAAAGTCAATAGTTAGTAATTTAGAAGTTAATAGTCACAAAGTATGATCAATAATGATTGAATGATGATTATTGGACCAAAAATAATGACGACTCATTAGAGGATTGATAAAATAAAAATCTCATAAAAACAAGTATCATAGGTATTGGGCCAAAGACAATCAATCAACCATACTTGGACATTCAAACATGAAGTTTGAGCCATAAATGACCATTTTCTGATTCAGAACAAATTTAACGCTATGTTAAGCAATCGCAGACGAACTTATGTGGAAGTCAATACTATACGAGACCGGTCAATAACAATCTATGTACCATACATGTTAGAGATATGGTAGAAACCATACTCCTAAAACATGTAGCACAAGTCAAAACAAAAGATCAAGACCTATGTCATGATCAAATAAAAAAAAGGAAAAGAAATAAGATGAAGAAGAAAGATGGAACTCAAAATCAAGGTGGATCAAGGTATCATTTCCATATAACCTAAAATTTGGTCAAAGTCAGAATCAAAATTAAAAGAAAATTAAAATTGCAATTAAAAAACAATAAAAATGAATTTAAAAATAGTAAATAATTTGGAATTAATTGATAAAATACTCAAAGTGTATCAAAACACCAAATAAAAATCCCAAAAAAATACCAGAGGTCAAACACAAGTTAACAAGTGTTGATAAATTTTTTCAGAGTTTTTTAAGTCATAAAAGTATTTTCAAACAATTAAAAACAAGTGAAAATATTACAAAAATGATTAAAAAAATCAAATGATAAAATAAAATTGTGGAAAAATAACATCAGAAAAAGAAAATTCAAAGGTAATTTTAGGAATTTTTTCATATTGTTTGGATTAAAAATGAATTTTCTATGAATTTTTCAAATTAAAAACAATTTAAAAATAAAATCATAAAATAAAATAAAATCCACAAAAGTGTGGTACGTCGGATCAAGTCCAAGTTAACAAATTAGACTGATCTGATGGTCATCATGAAAAG